CTAGAGACACAATTAAAGATCTAGATGCAGGGGACAAGTGGTTGTAGGAAACAAAATTAGCAATAGAATATGTGGATTTGCAAGTGCGTATTCCTTTGCGAAGAGCAATTGGAAGGTCAAAGTTTTCCGGAGGGTCAGGTGGAGGCAAATCTGGTGACGAAGGAACTGGTGCTGAACATGTATCATTTGTCTGTTGCCTCCGCGAGTAAACTTGAACAATTAGTGGTCTTGCTAACACAGTTGGAGCAGGTGCTGAAGGCAGAATAATGGATTGGTGCTCGATAGAACTAGGAGATGGAGGAACATCATCTCGTTGTTCTGTCAAAGTACGAGTAACTTGATATACTAGCCACTCATCTTCCTCCCCCTGACTTGTAGAAATGGGAGCTGCATAGAAGAATGGTGTAGTATCTGAAAATACCACATCAGTTCACACTAAATATTTGCCAAGTTCAGTAGAATGACACTGATACCCCCTCTGAAGGCGAGAATAGCCAAGGAAAACACACTTCAATGCCTTGGGATCCAACTTGGTAACAGATGGTCGAACATCTCGAACATAACATGTGATTTCAAATACCTTAGGTTCCACCGGAAATAATGCCTTGTTTGGAAAAAGGACACTTTAAGGCACATTACCACCAAGCACAGTAGATGGCATGCGATTAATCAGAAAGCAAGCCATAGAGACCGCATCAGCCCAGAACTGTTTAGGAACCTTTATTTGGAACAAAAGTGTCCGAGCTGTCTCGAGTAGATGCCTATTATATTCTTCCTCTCAGCTACTCCATTTTGAGAGGGTGTATCAACACATGAAGACTGATGTAGAATACCATGTTGTCTCATGTACGACTGAAATAACTCTGACATGTATTCTTTAGCATTATCACTCCTTAGTATACGCACCGAAATGTTAAATTGAGTTTTGATTTCAGCACAGAAGGCAAAAAAGTGAGTAAACACTTCAGAGCGACTCTTCATAAAGTAAATCCAAGTCATTCGAGAAAAATCATCTACAAAGGTGACAAAATACTTATGCCCAGTTTGGAAACAACGGGACATAGTCCCTAAACATCATATGAACTAACTCAAAAGCTGACTCAACTCGTTTATTAACCCTTGGACTTAACGAGAGGCGATGGTGTTTTGCACATCGACATGACTCACAATCCAATGAAGAAATATTCCGAAACTGAGGACAAAGCTTCTTCAACAAAGGCAGAGAGGGGCGTCCCAATCGACAGTGTGCTTCAAAGGGAGACACAACACTAGAACATGCAATAGACCGTGGCTCACATTCATCAAGGATGTAGAGATCACCAGATAAATATCCTTTACCAATAACCTGTTTTGTTGTAAGATCTAGAAACAAACAATGATCGGGAAAGAATGCAACACAACAATTAAAGTCTTTGGTGATTTTACTAACAAAAATCAAGTTAAAGGCCAAGTTTGGTAGACTTAATACAGATGACAGGGTAATAGAGGAAGTTGGTTTAACAGTCCCAGGTCCAACACTGCTACAAGTTGATCCATCAGCTACAGTAACTGGAGAGGGTGCTTTATGTTAGCGAAAGCTAGAAAAAATATTTGGATTGCCTGTCATGTGATTTGTGGCACCTGAATCGATCACCTATTTATTGGAAGATGTGATAAGACATGTTTTATCTGATCTAGCAAAGGCAGTAACTGAAGAAGATTTCTTAACTGATTTATGATTTTGAAGGAATTTTAGAAACTCATCCGAAACCAAGATTGCTAGACTAGGAGTTGTTGCACTATTATTCTTTACCATCATTTTTTCTTTGAATAACAAACCGATTAAATTAACAGAGGTCCCCAAAGCTAAAACATACCAAAACAGATCTCTGGTAAACACGAAGTCAACAATCTATTTAACACAACTCCTCTCCAATAATCCACTCAACCAAATCAGAGAACCAAACAAATCTGTCCCCAAATCAAATAAAATCAGAGACCAACAAAGTTTCTGATAAGGGAAGACCCAATAGATAATATCAAGTCTCAAATTGTAATAAATCGTCTTACAAGGAAGACTCAACAAATACCAATTCACAAGACAAACAATCAGATGCAAGAATATTATTCCACGACTACTTCAGTATCCCAAAAAAACAAACCAAACAATAGAAGAACTCAAACTTGACCAAAATTGGTGTAATACAACCTTGTCGGAGTCTGTTCTTTACGAAAATAAGGTAACATTATCAGAGGATAACCAACAATCGATCGAAAATACAAGCTGATCTCGGAGAACAAAGCTGGACAGAGAATGGACCACACACGCACCTTACGCGTCTGCCGGAAAGTTTTGGTCAACTCCGGCGAAGCCACAGGTATGGCTCTGATACCATGTAATTAACAAGGTATGAAAGAATCAAATTGGTGTATTATTCCATATAGTGATACATATATATACATGTACATTAGGCGCTAACTATGGAAAGAAAATAAAAGAGATTTCTACAAATCTGCTATCTATATATGGGTTATGTACACTACTAAAAAACAGTCTATGTTCATTGTGTAAAGTGTCTAGGTTCATTCTGTAACAGCAACAAAAGTTACTTAACAAAAATCTTTGATAACATAATACCTCTTTGTTTTTTAACTTTTTATATTTGTTAAAAGTATATATGTTAATTTACCCGATTCAAGCTTTCGTTAGAAATATAAAAAATCTTGGTGAAGATCAATTAATAGATATTTTCGTTAGAAATACTAAATTTCCGATTTCAAACGGATAAAATTCTTGACCATTATATACAAAGGAATGAAAATAGGCGATGCTAATAGGATTAGAAGTAGGGGGTGTACATGGACTTGGTTGGTTCTTTTTTTTATTAAAACCAAAGCAAAGCAACTATATCGATTTGGATTGGTTCGGTTTCGTCACATTTTTCGGGGTTTTCGAGGTTTTTTGTTACAAGAATAATATGTCAATCTTACTTTGTTAAATTTTTTATAAGTAAATATATGTTTAATACAAATTGAAAAAATTGACAAACATATGATCTATTAAAATATTTTTATGGGAGAATCTTCTTAGTAGCATATGATAGTTATTTTTTTAGTTGTCTGACAATAAATTTTCGTTGATGTATACTTTCAAAGTTAACCGAATTTAATAATTAAATATAAAAATCAATATGATACCTAAATAATGATATGTTCTATTTAATTTTCAATTATCGAAATGCCACTTCAAATTCGAAAAAGATATAAGAATATAAGAGATCTTGACATATGAATATGGAAAAACAAAGAGATTGACGCAGTTCAATTACACCTAATGAGAAATTGATCATACAACACATTATTCAAAGTTAATAAAAATGGAGCACTTCATATTCTATATAATATTACATCCCAGAAATGAATATCAAATATTTCTCGACATTTTTAAACAAAAAATTCTATATAAAGCCATAAAAGTATATATAAAAATTATATATTTATATGTCGATTTGGTTCAGGTTTTTTGACTCAATACCAAACCAAATCAAACCAAACCTCATCGGGTTTTTTAATCGGTTTGGTTTGACTTTTCGGCTTGATGCGGTTTTCCGGTTCGGTTTGTACGCCCCTGATAACATAAACCCACCATGGTCAAAATAAGTGTGTCGGCATTGCAACCTGAACAGCATGCAGATGCAGTAGTAAGGTAGCTACAAGGATTAATTGGACCCGATATCTGAGCAGGAGAATAGGACCTAGCTTCGTATAATTGGAACAGCATACCCACTGGACCTTGTCTGTGAATGATTGCTGTGGCATTTGTCGATAATAAAATAGCTGGTGTCAATGGGCTCCTCCAGGTCGTTATTTCACATCATGCAGTTAAAAAGTTTTCGTACTATAATTAGTATGATGACTGANAATAATGATATGTTCTATTTAATTTTCAATTATCGAAATGCCACTTCAAATTCGAAAAAGATATAAGAATCTAATAGATCTTGACATATGAATATGGAAAAATAAAGAGATAGTCACATTTCAATAATACTTGATAAGAAAGTGATCATACATCATATTATTTAAATTTAATAAAAATAGAGCACTTCATATTCTATTAAATATTACATCCCATAAGAGAATTCCAAATATTTCTAGACATTTTATAAAAATAAATTCTATATAAAGTCTTAAAAGTATATATAAAAATTATATATTTATATGTCGGTTTGGTTCGGCTTCTTTTTACTCGATACGAACCAAATCAAACCAAACTTTATCGGATTTTTTAATCGGTTTGCTTTGACTTTTCGATTTGGTGCGATTTTCCGGTTCGATTTGTACACCCCTAATTAGAAGAATAACAACAAATATTTGTGAAAAAACAATACCATGAGGCCCTAAAATGTCAAAAGCTAACAAATAAACCGCTATAAAAACAACAACAACATTAATAACACCGAAATAATTCACTGCATTTCTTCAGTTTTATTTCACATACTAGGAGTAACTAAGATTTTTCAATTTTTAATATGACCCAATTGAATGCTCCTTGAAAGAAAAAAAGTTAAATCCTTATACGAATCAGTACAGAAATTTTGAGTTGTTGTTTGGATTGGTTTAGTTGGGTGTTAGAGAAAAAAATTCTAGAACTTTGTTAATGTAAGCCTTCTGCCAAGTAGATAACTTTGTTAAAATTGAAGAACCCGCACCCGTACCGGAATGTTTTTATTTTGACCCGCCCCGCCCGCAACCGTATATGTTTCCGTCCCGCATGTATCTACACCCGCACCGCTCCACATCCGCACCGCCCCATTGCCATCCCTACGCATCGTCCTTTTAAAGAGAGTAATAGCATATGCCACCAAAACTAATAGTACTAATATGATACTTATTCACTCTACTTTCTACCTTTCTCTACTCAACCAACTCACATTATAAAGGGGAAAGAGACATATTCCGAAGAAGTTGACAAAGAACGACAGCTAGTTCACGGAAGAATAATAACTTCTCTACGTCTGTAAAGCATCGGCGATGTAGATTAAAGCAAAATAGGGCTTTGACAAGAAAACTGGCCCTCGTCTGAAGAGGCCTAAAATCTCAACAATATAACCCTTCATTATACACCCTTTAAATATACTATCATAAAAACATATTTTGATAACCAAATCAATGACCAATAGCACACGTCTCTCTCTTTCGAGAACCAGAGAATCCAGGTACAGAATACAGCTACCAAAACCAAAAGGCGTAGCATCCAAAAAAGGATAACACTCTTTTAAAGCTAAACAATTGTAACAAACACGACCAACTTGCCTCTGATAAACCACCTTGATGTATCGTCAGTTGCTTTATGTAGAATCCTCAGCAGATTTTGGTTCATCTTTTGACTTCAGTGCGGCCGAAGGTGATGGAGAACCTTCTTGGCCCATTTCAGTTCTCAAATCGTTGATGCTCTGCTCCAATTCATCAATCCGGTTCCCCATCTCATCAAGTGCAGCATTGTCAAGGAATAAACAGACTTTGTCCAAGTTGATCTCACAAAATTTAACTGCTATGTATAACATACTAGAGATAACAACGATCAACACAGCCAATTTAGACCAATTTGACAGGGACACTATATCATGTAGAAATATTCACCATAAACAAAAGAGATGACAGAAAACCAAAAGTGAGATACAAAAGCAAACCTATACACTGATACACATAACCTGCCTTTTCTGCCGTAGGACATTGAAATTATGTCAACCGTATCTTGACGTATTTAGTGCAATATCTCTTTCATAAATTTCATGAAACAAAAGAAGGCTAAATTCTGGTCATACGACCAAATCTTGATGTCACTAGTGCAATATCCCTTTCATAAAATTTCATGAAACTAAAGAAGATTAAATTCCGTGTGAATACCAGAAGTCATACAAACAAATCTTGATGTTACTAGAGCAATATCCCTGTCATAAATTTCCTGAAACTACAAAGAAGGATAAATTTAGTTTTGATCACCAGAAGTCCTACTAACTTTAAAAATTAGGAGAAAACGGAGCTGGAGTAGAAAAAGTTGACTGTTGACCCCCTCGAGCCTCACAACTATGGGCACATTTATGGATTCTTGAAATCAAGAGCTGTATGACATGCCACACACAACCTACTTCACTAATTAGATGACACCCGTGCAGCGACTAATCAACGTAGATTAGGAACAAGAATCAATTAGTTACAGGATAATAAAGAACAACAAATAGTTGTTCCTTATTATCCTGTAACAACAAATATATTACCAAAAAAAAAAAAAACAAATAGGAAAAGGATATTTTTTGAGATGATTGATTCAGACATTGTCTGAAACCTGGTTTGCTGCAAAGAGAAAACAATATTAGTTGGAAGATAAATATGATAAAAACTAGGGGAGAATCCTATTGGAGCAGAGAGAGCAGGCTCACCATTTGCTGAAGAAGATTCTGGACCTGCAAGAGCAGAAAGCGGGTAAGGAAAAGTTAGCTAGCAAAATGGATGCGATTATTTGTAATGTCACATATGACGTTAGTTCTAGTGAACAACACAACGATATATAAGGCCAATAAAGAGATGGCAGGCACCCAGTGTCTAATATGTCAGCCAGCAAGAATTGTATCAATATGTTGATAAGGTACCTTGGTATCCAGACATAAATAATTATGATACTCATTGTGTACATAAGAAATTGGGTGGGTAAAGGGCATATAACAAAAAGGTTTCCTTAATCATAAAATAAATGCTTAGATGTCATGGTCCTGACATCATGGAACCACATTTATTTTAGATAGTTCTTTAAGGGACAGGCTAGCATGTTAGAACTACATTGATGATGAAAATATCAAACTGACAAAAATATTACATTTGAACCAAATGAATCCTTGGAACCTAACTTTTACAAGGAATCATGCTTCAGTAACTTAGCAGCTAGCATATTGAGATGGACTAGAAACCTTTCCAGAATGTCATTTAAGTAAATAGTGGAGTGAAAATTCAGTGTTTAACATCAATGGGAAAAATCCAGAGCAGTATATTCATCATAAAAACTTACAAACACAGTCATATCAGCAGTGCTTTGTTTCGTATTATCTGCATCATGCCCGTCCTGCAAAATGATCCAGAAACTATGGGTCAGAAGGGAGCAGAAGAAAAGTAGAAAGGTAAAAATTAATTGAATTTTCAACCTCCATATTGCAAAGTCCTTTTAAAATCCAGAAAACTGTATTTCCACAATAACTAGCTTTCAGCAAGAACAATCAGAAGATATCGGAACACAATATACCTTAACTCTCCCACTCCTAATTAATCAGTCAGATTTTTTATCACGCTAACATACAAATATGTACAGTGAAGAATTTGTAATTTTAATTTCCCACAGATAATGCTGATGAAGGCATAGAAATTTGGTAGTATTAGCAAGTTTAATAGAAGAGCTCAAAATTGTCTAATGTCTAACAGAAATGCAATGGAAAAACCAATTAGCAATATGCGTCCTTGTAACTGTTTTCACACAGACCTAGTACTTTATATAGCTCTTTATGATGTCTACAGAAAAGCTATAGACACCCTTTCATATGTAAATCAAAATTTGGTTCTAGGCAGCTCTTGACAAACCATGTTTTAATTTAAATTGCAGTACTTTCAATGCACTAAGCAGAAATGAATGGTATATTCAGATTAATGGTCGCACTACTTACTCAGTTTAGTTCTTCAATTTTACTGATTGAAGATCAACTAAACAACCTAAAAAGTTCGCCATGATACTCGTTTTCGAATGCACAAAGGCCAAAGCTTGAGCTTATGAGTGAAATCACAAAAATCCAACTTGAATTGGCAAGAATACAAAATAAGGGCATAAAAGAAGTGCATAGTAGGCCCCAAACAACAAGCTATCACCACAATAAAGGTGCCTTTTTCTTTTGCACGTCCTTAAACAATCGCAAGTGTCCATATTTCTGACTACAAAAGAAAACTATCATATCCCTCTCCCTAAGTGTGTTCGTTCCCACTTCCTCTTGCACAAAGTCACCACCTAACAAACATCATCACTTGTTTCACATAACTGTATAATTATAAGCCAAACACTATAAAACAGTAGAGTAGTTTTTATTTGTATTAACTAAGCAATGCTTGCATCACAGCCATTATGAAACTGGTAAAAAAATCTTCTAGGCTATTAGCATCAATATAATCCAAAAGAGAAGACATAAAAGACCTGATTTTACGAGTTCGCAACTATTCCAAAAGAGTTAAGATATAAAACACCTGATTCTACTCTGAAGCTCAGGATAATATCTAAAATTTCACTTCACTTCAAGCCCCCACCCCCCTCTTTCTTAAAGGATATTCCTTCTCCTTCGTTTTAGCTAGCATTACCACTATTTGGGAGTTCAAACATTTTTTCCCAATTAAAACTTTTTCACAGATTTCATAAATAATTTTAATTCTAAAAGTTTGTTACCCAGTAACTTATTTAGTTAGTTTCTAATTAAGTAAAATTTATTTTTAAAAATTATGGAATAAATACAAAACAAAATGGAGACAGAAATTAGTCTGTTTCATTCTCGTACACCGAAGTGAGTATGCAAAATTGAACATTGAACATTTTATCTTAAAATGTTCAAAGTTAGTCCATCTCATTCTCGTACTCCGAAATGGGCTAGATATGCAAAATTGAACATTGAACATTTAATAAAGTAATATGTCCATTGGATAGAAACAAACACAGAAATAAAGAAAACTAAACATTGAAAATTTTATCTTATAATTGATAATATTCCAACACGTAGATAACGATGCGAAATATAAAGCAGAAATCACAAAATTTCACGGATCGATTCATATATAAACCCTAAAATGAGCTAGATATGCAAAATTGAGAGTGTGCATTTGTAGAGATTGAAGATTTAAAGTGATATAGAAATGAGTTTTTACCATGTGTTCGGCAAGAGAAAAGCTTCTGGTTAATCGCTTTCGAGCAGAGAAAAGAGATGGTGAACACAAAAATGGCGAAATTGTGAGGAGAGGGTCGAAATTTTGAAACCATATAATTTCAAATTTGAAATGACCAAAAAGGGATTGGGCCCCAACCCAATTTCATTGGTATTCTTTTTCGTGGACAAAGTGCAGAAATAGCCGCATTAGGACCAGCTAGGGCTGTCTACCGGTACCCGTACTTTAAGTACCGGTACCGGTACCGAACCGTACCGCTCCGTTTGGGGGTAGGAGTGAGGGATTTGGGTGAAGCGAATAGATAAAGGTAGGATACCCGAAATAGTACCCTTAGTACCGGTATTGTACCGGCACCCAAATTTTTATTTTTTTAATTTAACATTTGGCCATTATTGTAAACGGCTATTTTTGCCTCCTTATAGCCTATTTGGTTAAAATATTATGGTATAGCCAGTTTTCACACTGGTCAATGAAAAATAGCCAGTGTTTATCAAGTCGATGAAAAATAACCACTATTTTGCTGCAACAGGGACCGGTCCAGTATAATATACGGGAGTTCTGGTGCATTTGTGTACGAACTCCAGCATATTATGCTGGACCGGTATACTTTGCTAACTCCTGTAAAATTTGTGGGAGACTGGAACACCAGTGCTCCAAACTCTAGTATATTATACTGGACAATTATACTTGCTGGAACTCCCGTAAAATTTGCGGGAGTTCCAGCATAATTATGCTTGAACTCCCGTAAAATTTGCGGTTGCTGGAACTCCCGTAAAATTTATGGGAGTTCAAGCATACTTATGCTGGAACTCCTGTAAAATTTGCGGGCGTATTTTTCCGGATTTTGAACAGTGTTTTCGCTCAGATTTAAAGTGGCTAAATTTCGATGACTTTTGAAACTTGGCTATTTTTCAACGACCAGTGGTAAATCTGGCTATTTTTGAATTTCTCCCCCTATTTGGCCAAGCTTCTCCAATTCTAGAAGTACTTTTTTCTTTTTCTTTTTCAAAGTTGAAGTGTTTGGTCAAGCTTTTGAAAGAAAAAAAAGGAGAAGCAGAAGTAGAAAAAATAGCTTCTCTCCAAAAGCACTTTTTTGAAAAGCATTTTTGAGAAAAATACACTTAGAAGTAGTTTTTAAAAACTTGGTCAAACACTAATTGCTGCTCAGAAGTGCTTTTCAAATTAATTAGCGAAACACAAACTGTTTCTCACCAAAAGTACTTTTGAGTAAAAGCACTTCTCAAAATAAGCTGCGTTTTGCAACTTGGCCAAACAGGCTATTAGTCCCCCAACATCCCCCTACCCCATAATTTAGGTTCTTAATCCCTAAGTTTGTTCAAATGCACTTTGACCTTATTTTATAACTATAAATACCTCATTTCATTCTTTCAATTTTAATTCAAAAACTCTCATATGTCTCTAATTCTCTATCTCTCTCTATCTCTAATTGCAGTTTACATCGGCGTTTGGTACATTCGTTCCAACTCATATTAATTTTCGCATTTATTTTTGTTATACTTGTGTTGCTATTTGTTGTAATTTTAAATATTTATTATTAAAAATGGCTCCTAAATAGGTAAAAAAGAAAAGTGTGTAATAGATCTACTAAGGATAATGTTAGGGAAGGGGGTCCTCGTTTTCAAATAAATCCTAACCAATCCGGGTTTAGGAGTTACATAGAAGAAACGTATAATCTTGCTTTTTCAGGTTTTCCTAGAACAATTGTTAGAAATAATGTTTGCGATGAAGACTTGCTGAAATATTTGAAGAGAACAAACATTGGCCTTCCAAAAATAATCGAAGAAGACAACAATGCCTATAGTGAAATACTATCTACCGGAGACAACGGGAACGCAGAAGAACAAGTGTGTCGCGGCCCAAATCCCAAAACCCGGCCGTGATGGCACCTCTCGTGAAGACAAGGCTAGCCAGAACAACAGAATCACTTCTTTAACCATTACTTAACATTTATAAATCCAAAACGCATAATAAACAGTTATAAAAGCGGAAACAGCGACAATAGCAAAGGGAACCATCCCGACACAGCCCAAATCGGGGTGTCACAAGTCATGAGCTACTACAGAGTTGCTATAAGTCTAAGAAATAGAATATCTGATACAATAGTTTGAAGGAACTGAAATAACATAAAATAGGGGAGTCAAGGGGCTGCGGACGTCAACAGCTACCTCGAAGCTCCAACTCGCTGCCTGGTCTGTGAAGAATATCAGTGCTCAGGAGCGGACTCTGCTATGCCTGAATCTGCACATATGGTGCAGGGAGTAATGTGAGTACTCCGACCCAGTGAGTAATAATAATAAATAATAACCGAAGGCATGAAAACACATAAGTGCACAAGGCAATTCTATATCAGGCAGTAAATCACTTAAAGCCGTAAAATAGTAAAAGTCGAATGAAATCTCCCTTTTTAAAAACAAGTAAATTAGATAAAACAACAAATAAAAAGCGAGTAGAAATCTGCCCCTCGGGCCCAGTATCAACCGCTCAAAACAGTATCAGCCCCTCGGGCTCAGCATCAGTCACTCAGCATAACATCAGCCCCTCGGGCTTACTCTCATATCACATGGGTACACGCGCTCACTGTGGGTGTGCAGACTCCGGAGGGGCCCCTTACGGCCCAAGCGCTATATCAACATAAGGCCTGAAAGCCTTCTCAAATCACACTCGAGGCCTGAAAGCCTCCTCACATAACACTCGAGGCCTGAAAGCCTCCTCACATCACACTCAAGGCCTGAAAGCCTTCTCAGTCTAGGAAACATCATAAGCCCCTCGGGCATCATTAAAATAGTAGTGCTCAGCCCAAACAATAGTGGAAATATCATTAAAGTCTCGAAATTCAATTAAAGCGGCTGAGTTTGTAAAACAGTACAATCATTAGGACTGAGTTCAAGTATTATATCAAAATAGTGAGGAAACAGTGATAACAATCCCCGAAGGATTCAAGTAGTCGGCATTAAGCCCAAAATATGGCAATAAGCCCAAATCATGATGATAAACAGGACAACTCAGTCAAATACGCGGTAAAATATCAAGCGGGATGGACCAAGTCACGATCCCCAGTAGTAAACAACCCCGCGCTCGCCATTAAGCGCGTGTTTCACCTCAATATAGCACTACGTTGTGCAATTCCGGGGTTTCAAACCCTCAGGATATCATTTACTATCATTACTCACCTCAAGCCGGCCAAAATCCTAGCTCGCTATGCCCTTGCCTCGCAAATCGACCTCCTCGCGCGTCGAATCTGATCAAAACCACAATGAATATGTTACAATAGGCTAAGGGAACATAATCCAATCGAAAAGACTCGAAAAATATCGAAATTCACGAAATTTGCAAAACCCGAGCCCCGGGCCCACTTCTCGAAAATCAGAAAAATTATCGGATTCCTTATCTCGCCACGAGTCTCTACATACCAAGAACTCCCAAATCCGAGTTCAAATGACCCATCAAAACCCACTATAAATTACCAAAACCAAGCCCTAGCTTTTCTCCCCTTTTGATGAATTTCCATAAATTTCTAGGTTAATTCTTCTATTAAATCATGTATTTAGGCCATAGAACTCACCTCCAATCACACCCAGTCGAAATCCCCTTCAATTTCCGTCCAAAAGCTCTCAAGGTTGCTCAAAAATGGTGGAAAAATACCTTAGCTCGCGGATGAAATATTAATTTTCAACCCTTCTGCCCAGACCTCATTTTCACTTCTGCGATCCGATTACCGCATTTGCGGTTTACACTTCTGCGGAACTTATATACGCTTCTGCGGAAATTACACTTTCGGTCAGGACCGCTTTTGCGGTCTAAATCCGCTTCTGCGGACACCGAATCTGCGGACTTCTTCCCGCTTCAGCGGAACACCCCCAAGGCCCTTATCCGCTTCTGCGGTCCACACGCCGCATCTGTGGCATTGCAGATGCGGCTCCAAGCTCGCACCTGCGGAAGAACAATTCCTCAAGAAGCTCGCACCTGCGACCCCTTCTCCGCATCTGCGGCCCCTTTTCCGCAGATGCGGAAACACCAGAACCAGAAAACACCAGCAATCTCACAAGTCTAAAATTCATCCCGATGGCCATCCGAAATCACCCCGAGGCCCCCGGGACCTCAACCAAAAGTGCGAACCCATCCTAAAACATCATTAAAACTTGCTCCAATCATCAAAACACCACAAACAACAACAAAACCATCAAATTACACTGGATTCAAGCCTAAGTTCTTCTAAAACTTCCGAAATACGCATTCGATAAAAAACCCAACCAAAACACCTCAGAATGACCTGAAATTTTGCGCACACATCCCAAATCAACTAACGAAGCTACAACAACTCTCGGAATTCCATTCCGACCCTTGGATCAAAATCTCACCTATCAACCGGAATTCGCCAAAATACTAACTTTGCCAATTCAAGCCTAATTCTACACCGGACCTCCAAAATCACTTCCGATCACGCTCCTAAGTCACAAATCATCCCCCGAAGCTAACCGAATCACCGGAAATCACATCCGAGCCCTCTAACTCACAAGTCAACATCCGATTGACTTTTCCAAACCAAACCTTCCTTAAAGAGACTAAGTGTCTCATTTCCTTCTAAAGCCAATCCAAAATAACTCGTTCACACAAGACTCATATAATGAAGCATAAAGAAGCAGAAAATGGGGAAAACGGGGCGGTAACTCACGTGACGACGGGCCGGGTCATCACATTCTCCCCAACTAAAACAAACGCTCGTCCTCGGGTGGGTTAAGAAACATACCTGAAACCTCAAACAGGTGAGGATATCTGCTCCGCATCTCCCGCTCGGTCTCCCAAGTAGCCTCCTCCACGGGCCGACCTCTCCATTGCACTTTCACCGAAGCAACATCCTTTGACCTCAACTTCCGAACCTGACGATCCAAAATGGCTGTTGGCTCTACATCATAAGTCAAATCATCATCCAACTGAACCGTGCTGAAGTCCAATACATGGGACGGGTCCCCAACATACTTCCGGAGCATAGAAACATGAAATACTGGATGCACGCCCCGACAAGCTGGGTGGCAAGGCAAGCTCATAAGCCACCTCCCCAATCCTCCT